CGCGGGAAGGCGGCGAAGGCGGAGGTCGAGCGACGCGCGGGCGGCGCGTCGACGTCGACGTCGCGGGGACGGGCGCGTGGGAAAGAGCGCGCGGAGACGGAGCAGGTGAAGCGGAAGCGAGGGAAGGGGGATGGGACGGGTGAGAGAGGGAGTGGGGTCACGGGACGGAAGAATCCGCGCGGCGCGGCGCGTTTGCGGTGGACCCCGGAGCTGCACGCGGAGTTTTTAAAAGCCGTGCATCAGCTCGGGGGGTTAGAGCTGGCGACGCCGAAAGGGATCGCGACGCTCATGACGACGAGCGGGATGACGCTGCAACATATAAAGTCGCACTTGCAAAAGTATCGATTACAAGAGCTCGGCGGGGCGACGCGAACGCCCGCGGGGGACGACACCGCGGAGCGCGCGCGACGAGCGATGATCAAGCGCGCGCGACAGGAGCAGGCGGAGGAGTTGGCGCGACGCGCGAGTTCTGGAGATTTGGCCGCGTACGAAGCCGCGTCGACGCCGACGTCGGCGGGAAATCTGAGCGAGCTCATACATTCACAGTTCGCGTCGCCCGACGCAACACCAGATGAGCGATCGCTCGACGCCATCTTGGCGCGCGCGTCTACCGATCCCGTCAGCGCCTCCGCCGCGCTCGGCGCCTCCTTGGGCGTCGACGTGAACGACGTAGACATCAAATCCATGCCCAAGGTTGGCCAAGCGCTCCTGAAACAGCTCGAGATGCAAAAGCAGCTCCACGACCAGCTGCTCACGCAGCGTCGGTTGGAGACCGCGATCGCCGAGCACAGCAAGTACATCGCGAGCATGCTCGCCGGCGATACCCCGCCCAGGTCCTGAGTCGCGTCGCGCCCCGGACGGGACCGGACGCGTACGCGCGCGAATTGTAACCACACATAGCGTTAAAACACCCTAAACCCTGCGCGTGCGGACACGCGCGCGGTGACGTAAACAAAAAAACTCGGACGCGCGGCACGTACGACGCCACCGACACACGCCATGACGGGTGAAAACCCCAACGCGCGCGTGTTTCACCGCGGCGACGCGCGCGCGGCGGCACACGGCGACGAACGCACGCGCGCGATGGGGATCACGTTCGCCAAGCTCTTCCAGAGGCTCTTCTCCAAGAAGGAGATGCGCATTCTCATGGTGCGTCGCGCGCGATGTCCGTGGCCGCGGGCGCGTGGACGGGGGCGCGCCCCGGGACAGATCGCGACGTTGGCGCGCGCGAGATCGCAAGATGGGGAAGATATCGCGCGTGTGCGACGCGCGCGATCGATCGCGTCGATCGCCCGGGGGATGGCGTGAGAGCATGGTTTTCATTCGATCGCGCGCGGCGTGGATGTGATGCGTCGGACGGGGGATGTGGGATGTCACGGGGAAGATCTCGACGACCGCGGATTGATTTCGATCCGGGGTGGCGAATTTGACTTTCGGCGTGCGCGGAGCGACTGACGATTTGTTTTCGTGATGCGCGCAGGTCGGTCTCGATGCCGCGGGTAAGACGACTATTTTGTACAAGCTCAAGCTCGGGGAGATCGTGACGACGATCCCGACCATTGGTTTCAACGTCGAAACCGTGGAGTACAAGAACATCTCGTTCACGGTGTGGGACGTCGGAGGACAAGATAAGATTCGTCCGCTCTGGCGACACTACTTCCAGAACACGCAAGGTTTGATTTTCGTTGTTGATAGCAACGATCGCGATCGCGTCTCCGAGGCTCGCGATGAGTTGCACCGCATGCTGAACGAAGACGAGTTGCGAGACGCGGTTCTCTTGGTGTTCGCCAACAAGCAAGATTTGCCGAACGCGATGAGCGCGGCGGAGATCACCGATAAGCTTGGCTTGCACTCCTTGCGACAACGCCACTGGTTCATTCAGTCCACGTGCGCTACGTCCGGTGAAGGTCTCTACGAAGGTCTCGACTGGCTTTCCTCGAACATCTCGCAGCGCGCGTAGAGGGTGTTCGGCTTGAGGTGTGGAGATTTGTGAAGGATTAGGACGTGAGCGGCGTTAATTAGGCCTGAGGTAAGCGCGTAGGCGAGCGAGATGGTTAAAGTGCGAAGAATCGCGACGCAGAGCAACGCGTCGCGACGGATAGGATACTGTCGGCGAACATTTGTGAGTATTCCCAGCGTATCGCTTTATACAAACTTCCCGAATCAAAACTAATACCCTAACGCGTCGCCCCCGAGACATCCATGAGGTCGTTCACGTCCAAGCGCGCCGAGCCTCGACCCATTGTGCTACTCAAAAACGCCTTTTTCACGTACTTGCTCGCGTTCGGTGCCCCCTTACCCTTCGGCCGAAGCGCCCAGAGCTCGCGATACACCGCCGAGATGTTCTCCACCAACTGCTCGTCCTCAAAGTTCACTTTTCCAACCATGGTGTGCACGATCGCGTTCTTCTCCGCCCTGAACTCCACGCGACCGCCGAGCTGTTCGCGCACCGCCTCGGCGATCTCCGTCGTAACCGTGCCAACCTTTGGATTCGGCATCAAACCTCTCGGACCCAACACGCGCGCGACTTCCTTGAGCTTGCTCATCATCCCCGGCGTCGCCACAGCCTTATCGAAATCAATCGCTCCCGATCCGCCCTCCTTGATCGCGTCGACGAGCTCGGCGCCTCCGACGACGCTCGCGCCCGCCGCGCGCGCCGCCTCCGCGCTCTCGCCCTCCGCGAACGCCGCCACGCGCACCGTCTTCCCCGTTCCGTTCGGCAACCGCACCGCGCCTCGAACGATCATGTCGCTCCGTTTCGGATCGACGCCCAGGTGCACCGCGAGCTCGACGCTCTCGACGAATCTCTCGCTTTTCGCGTTCGCCTTGACCCAACGCACCGCGTCGAGCAACCCGTGCGTGGGCCTTCGCTCCATCTCGATCCGAGTCGGCGGTTCCGGGGCGTTCGCGGACTCGATATCGAGCGCCGCGCGCGTGGACGCGCCGCGCGCGCCGCGCGCGAGGCGACCGAACCCGATCGTCCCACTGAGAACTGTTTGAGGTTTTTCTTCGAGCGCCGCGGTGGAGACGCATGAGGACGACGACGACGACGCGCGACGGACGAACGCGGCGAGAGATCGACGGAGCGACATCCTGAGCGCGCGAGCGAGCGCGCGCGCGCGAGGTGAGGCGCGGTGAAGTGGCGTGAAGCGCGGCGCGGCGCGCGGCGTGAGAAGGATATTATTAATACAGCTTCACGACGCGGTCGGTAATCAACGGTGATGCGCTGACGACGGCGTCTGGGATGGAGTACATGTGAGCGATATCTGCGCGGTAGGGTGGACGTAGGATGCGAAACGCGCGTGCGTCAACCGCACGCGTCGAACGCATCGAACGCGAACAAACGCTCCGCCTCGAGTCCCTCGGCGAGGAGCGTTTCGAACGAATCGCGTCTGCGAATGGTGCAGTGTTCGTTCGCGAGCGTTGACTTGAAGATCGGTTTGATTTCGCCGACGACCGACGGCGGACGCAAAACGCTGAACGTATCGCTGTCCTCTGAGGACATCGACTCCGAAACCGCCTTTCGCGCGTACGTCTCCGGACTCTCTCGAGCGCTGTCGGGATCGCCCGGCGCGAGCTGCGCCATCCTCGCCGCTCGCTCGCTCACGCCCATGCGTAACGTCCGTCGCGTCGATATCAACTCGCTCAGCGTCGTGCGTCGTCTGCTCGCGCTCAGCGTCCGCGACGGCTCGCGCGACGCCGGCGCCCGCATCCAGTCGAATCCGAGGCGCCGCCGCGCCGCCGCCGTCGGCGATCGCCCCTCAAACGCCGGCGTCGTCACCGACGTCTCCTCGCGATTCAAAATCAACCACGGCGCCGTCCCGATGCCTCGCTCCTCCAACAACAAATCATCAAATATCGACATCGGCGCCGTCCCGTCCGCCTCCGCCGTCGACCGTTCGATCGCCCGCGCCGCGCTCCGCGCCACCACCTCTCGCACGCGCGCCCGCGCCGCGTCTCGCTGCGCCACCGCGCTCGCCCACGCGCGCGCGCCGTCCTCCCTCCGCCCGCGACGCGCATCGACGCGTCGTCCATCGCCGTCGTCCGTCGACCGTCGTTTCGTCGCCGACGCCTTCTTCATCGTTCGCGTCGACGTCGATCGTCCTCGCCCGCGCGCGCGTCGCGCCGACGCGATCGATCGCGCGTCGCGCCGACGCGATCGATCGCGCGTCGCGGCGCGTCGTCGCGTCGTCGCGGCGCGGCGTCGCGCGCGCGATCGATCGGAAGCGAATTCGG